CATTTGAAGTTGAACAAAGCCGCGGGACCAGATGATCTTCCTCCAGCCCTCTTCAAATTCGGAGGCTCTGCTCTTGTTGATGCTTTGCATGAATTACTAGTGAAACTGTGGGAGCAGGAGACTGTCCCAACCGACTGGAGCCGCTCCGTTATTGTTCCCATCTTCAAAGGCGGCTCGCGCTCGGAATGCGGCAACCATAGAGGAATCAGTCTGATCTCCATCGCCTCCAAATTACTCGCGTCCATAATTCTTCACAGACTGACTGGCGCTCGTGAAAGCCAGATTCGTGAGGAGCAAGCCGGGTTTCGTCGGGGTCGTGGCTGCATCGACCACATCTTCACCTTGCGTCAGTTGTTGGAGCACCGTCACACATATTGGCGGCCCACCGTAGTCGTGTTCCTCGACATCAAAGGTGCCTTCGATTCGGTTGATCGATGTGCCCTTTGGAATTGTCTACTCAGGAAAGGTGTGCCCGAGAAATATGTAAATATTATCCAAGCATTATATGCGCGTAGCACGGGCAGAGTGAGGGCTTACGGCAAGCTGTCGCCACCCTTCAATATCTCCAGCGGTGTGAGACAAGGATGCCCGCTGTCACCTTTCCTCTTCAACTTCGCTATTGACGAAGTCATGGAGATTGCATTTACAGGACATGACTTGGAAGGTGTGGAGCTACTCCCAGGAGAACGACTTCTTGACTTGGAGTATGCAGACGACATTGCCCTCATCTGTGACAGCTCCCAGACGTGCCAAGCCGCGCTGGACAGATTAGCACTGGCTGTCAGCCGCTTCGGGCTTTGCTTTGCACCATCGAAGTGCAAAGCGTTCCTCCAAGATTGGCAGGGATCGCCTCCTGCGCTGACCCTTGGTGGGGATCAGCTAGAAGTCGTTCAGAAATTCAACTACCTGGGAAGTTGTATCAGCGCCCTTGGGATCGAAGACGAGATCACGAACCGTATAGCGAAAGCTCGAAGTGCTTTTGCTAACCTTCGCCACCTATGGCGACGGCGCGACATTACTCTCGCCCTGAAGGGTAGAGTGTACAATGCAGCGGTACGTTCGACCTTACTGTACGGTTGCGAAACCTGGCCCCTAAGATCGGCGGACATGAAGAGGCTAGTTACGTTCGACCATCGGTGCCTTCGCAGTTTGGCTCACATCTGGTGGGAACACCGCGTGAGTAACGAGCGTGTTCGACGCCTTGTTTACGGCCCAGGAAAGGGAATGAACCGCTCAGCACCGTCATTTCACTACATCCAGGCCGTCTCCGGGCACAGTATCTGAGGTGCTCTTCACACCTCTAGCTGACATAGTGATATACGTGATGATACTAATGATGATGAATGAGTGGGTCTCTCACTCGTCAAGAGCTAGCGCGCGTTGCTGCCAACCACTACTGAATACTGAATACTGAATACTGTATTTTGGAGCAAGTAGAAAATAATTCTGTACAACTCCATCGGGTGATAATCAGAAAGCATTTAAAAAAAATAAATAAACACGTCCGGTGGTTATCCTGAGATGGTTCAGCAACTCCTTCTGTAGCACACAAAATGCTTGTTCACACAGTGAGTCACAAGTGGGTGATATCGTTGTCAAGTGGCAACCGTTCTCTGAAACGTATGTTAGCGAAGTGTAAATCGAACAAAGATTTGAATTTCTGCACAGATTCGGCCTCGACGACGTGTTCTGGCAGACTGTTCCAGTCGTGAGCAACCCTTCGCTCGAAAAACAGAGGTGTGGGATTTTCTTCAGATCAGGTACCACTAATTTGTACCTGTGCCAACGTGGGGTGCATGGTACTCGCAAGTGGCGTAACGACCTCAGCAAGGGAAAATGACCAAGTTGTAACATACGGTAGGTCATGATAAGATCCACTCGAATACGGCGATACGACAAGGTGTAGAGCCCAAGTTTCATGCACCGGTTTTCATACGATAAGCCTCTCAAGCTGGGGATCAACTTGGTGGCGATGTGTTGTACTCGTTCGATCTTTTGCGCTTCGCCGCGAGTGATCGGACAGTATGCAGGCGAGCCGTACTCTAGCATTGGTCTGACGATGGAAGAGAAGAGGCGAGTGGCGACGTCCTCAGACCAAGTGCAGAAGCTGCGTTTCAGCGCCCAGAGCATGCGCAGTCCGTTTTGATAGAGTTTGTTTGTGCTGTCGACCGATTTCAAGTCGCAGCCCGAGAGTACACCTAGGTCTTTCACGGAATGTGTGGGCTGCAGTGGTTGGTCGTCTAGGGTGTATGTTCGTCCGTGAACAGCCTTCCCGAGATTCATGAATAGGGACTTTGCCGGGTTGACCGGTAGGTGGACTTCAGCAGACCATACTGCGAGGCGGTCGAGGTCTTGTTGGAGAATGTCACAGTCATCGAGAGTATTAATTTCTCGCCAAATTTTGAGATCATCCGCAAACAGTGCACACGGCGACCGTAGAATCTGGGGCAGCTTGTTTATGTGGATGCGAAACAGAGTGGGTCCCAGTACCGTACCTTGAGGTACATCACTGGTCGAGGGATACCAATCGGTTAGATGGCCGTCCACCTGTACCCTCCACTTTCTTCCAACGAGAAATTCATGGATCCATCGATGTAACGATCCTCCGACACCACACGACCTTAATCTGTCTAGAAGCACTTCATGATTGACTTTGTCGAATGCTTTGCTGAAGTCGATGTAGATTACGTCGACGGACTTTCCCCGGTTCAGTGCTTGCAACCATTCCTGTCTCGTCACAAGTAAGTTGGTAACACAAGAATATCCCATCCTGAATCCGTGTTGTGCCGGTGTCAGAAGTTCTTTCGATTGCAACAGATGTATTAGACGCTTTTTTACTATCTTCTCGATCACTTTGGCCAAAACGGGTGTAAGACAAATTGGCCTGTAGTTATCCACCTTACTGGGGTCGCCACCTTTCGGGATCGGCCTCACCACCGAGCGCTTCCAGTCGTTTGGCAATGAGCCCTCAGACAATGATTTGTTGAATAGATCCGTAACAGCAGGCGAGATAATGGCAGCTAGTGATTTGATAATTAGCGGATGAAGCCCGTCAGGCCCTGCAGGCTTGGTACCGTCAAGGTTCGCAAGTAGCAGGCGCACCTCGTCGACATCACAAACCAAACTGTTGAGTTCTACAGGAATGTTACTCGCTGAGATGGGTATGGACGCCGCGTCGTTTGCAAACACGGAAGCGAAGTGAGCGGCCAGTGCGGACGCGCGATCGGAACTGGAAGTTAGCAGGTGTCCGTCCGCGTCTTCCAGACATGACACGTCACCTTTTGGCTTCAAACGGCGTTTCACGTAAGCAAAGATCTTCTTTGGGGCCATCCTCGCGTCAGTTGCAAGCTTTTCTTCGAACTTCCGGCGCTTTATCAATTTCACTTTGTTGCAAATATTTCGCTGTCTTTTATATGCTTCGTAATCAGTGGCGGAGCCAGAGAGGCGAAATGCGTCCCACATTCTTCGCCGTAACCGAGCCAGCCTACCATATTCCTTGTCGAACCAGTGTGGTTTGATTGGTCCGACTTTCTGAAATTTCAACGGCACAAACTGAGAACAAAGCGAAGCCAATCCTTCCTTTATTACTGTCCAACCGTCCTCCACAGATGTAACATGCGGTAGAGACCAATCCATTTGGCTCGCTGCTCGATTTAATCCATCGAAATCAGTTTTCCAGTAGTTGTAAGCTGGTTCCACCGGAGATACACTCGGCAAGTTCAGTTCCATAGTGGCTATCAGCACGGAATGGTCGCTTTTAGCTAGGGGCTCCTGGATTCGTATGTCATGCAACCGCTGTTCGCAATTCGTCACCATCAAATCAAGGCACGATGGGTTCGAACGCGACGTCATGCGCGTAGGTTGGCATATGTGTTGCGATGCCCCAGTTTCAAGCAACAAATCAACAAACTTTGATTCGACTTCAGAATACCCGGGCATGAGTTGGATTTCAGGCCATTGAATGTGGGGACAATTGAAGTCACCCATGAGTAAAAAAACATAGACTACTCATGTTGTTCCGAAGATGCGGTAGCCAATCTAAAGAGCGGTTCAGAGGGCTACGGTAGAATGCACCT